CCGCAGATCCAGACAGGACGCGGGGCCTCCCGGTCCCCGGGCGTGCGGCTGCCGTGACATGGCCACACCGCAGCCCCGCAGGGCCATCCAGGGCGGACCCTGTGGGGGAGGAGCCGAGGCCCTGTCATTCTCACGCCATCTCGTCTCCGTGAGTCATTCTCCTCTCCGTGGCTTGTTGGTAAATGCAAGTGTGTGCGCGTCCCGCCTGCTGCGCGGACGCCGAGACGGCGCAGCGCCCTGGTCATTGTAACAAACACTTTCTCACTAAATGTCTCGCAATCCCTCCGGAACAGTGTTCTAAATTTGAATTTGCAAATGCCTTTAACCCTCCGCGGTGTCCCCGGCTGTGAAGCCACGGTGCTGGGGGCCCCGGGAGGAAGCCGGGCTGAGGGGCCAGGGCTGTGAAGGGGGCTCCCACTGGGGTCCGCTGAAAGCACCGCCCCTGGTTCCCCCCAGAGCTCCCCGCTCTGCAGCCTCAGGTGCTGCCTGGAAAAGCCACCCTTTCACGTCAACATCCCCACATCCCTAAACTCCCCTCGGGCATTTCAAAAGGACGTACATTTTTGTTGGTTTCAGAGAGGAAGCGGGAGGGAGAGGGAGGGAGAGAGAAGCATCCATGATGAGAGAGAATCATGGACCGGTGCCTCCTGCACGCCCCCCACTGGGGATCGAGCCTGCAACCCGGGCCTGTGCCCTGACCGGGAATCGAACCCGGGACCCTTCAGTCCGCAGCCGACGCTCCATCCACACAGGCCTCTTTCCTGGGTTACCCGGTCGTCTCTCCGGTGACGTTTCTTAACCGCTTCCCTGCCCAGGGACACTGAGGCCATGGCTCTCCCCACAGTGACTCCACCCCGAGGTCACAGGCCGTCTGACCCCACAGCTGCCCACTCGGCCCAGGTGGGCAGAGCCCGCCCAGACACAGGTGCCTCCCAGACACGGTCCCTCCGCCCTCCCGTGACCCCAGGAGGCTGCAGCCGCCCCCTCCCCCACCCCCCCCGCAGCTCACATGTCAGCCGGCAAATGGGGAAGTCACAACCCAGTGAGGCTGCCTCTCGGGGTCTCACTGCCGGTTTCGTGGGCAGAGCCGGCGGCCCTCCTCCTGCCCGGCCCTGGGCCAGCTCAGCGCGGCCGGTGGGGACCAGCAGCTTCTAGAAAACACGGGCCTCAGCCAACCGGGTTCCAACGCGGGGCCTGGAGTCGCCTCCTGACTGTCCACGTGCAGCCAGGGCCGAGGCCGGGTCAGTGGCTGAGGTCGGGGCCTTGGGGTCCACGCCCTGCTCTGTCCCTTCCCAGCTCCGTGACCCGAAACATCACCACACCTCTCGGACTATCCTCTACTGTGACACGGGGGTGATGCAGACCAGCGGGGAGCGTGTGGGACTGAACACAGTACCGACCGGTGGGCTGAGCACAGCGCCTGCCCATCGAACGCAGCCAGCGGCTGTCACTCTGCTGGTGCAAGTGACTGGCGTGTGCTCGTATCTTTGCTGACGGCCCAGCCGGACGGGGGCTCTTTGGGGACCTACTTTTCCCTGCGCAGCCTCCGCGCAGAGCCTGGTGGGGAGCCTGTTAGCTGGACAGGGAGCCTGTCAGCTGGACGGGGAGCCCGTGAGCCGGATGGGGAGCCCGTGAGCCGGTTGGGGAGCCCGGGAGCTGGGTGGGGAGAAATCTGCTCCACGGGTGCCTGTGACTGTGTTTTCTCCTGCAAACCCTTCGAGACCTTCGTAAGGATTCTGTCCCATCAAGTTTTATTCCACACGTGTGTGCGGTGGGACCAGAGCTCAGACATGAGGGCCAGGCCCGTGAGTGCCCGTCTGAGGGGGTCTTCGGTGCCTGGTCCCCGCGCCCTCGGGTGCCTGCAGCTCTGCACCCAGACACTTCCTCCTTAAACAGGCAGCGGAACAAGATTCTCACCCTCGTTCGAATGATTTCCTCTGAGCAAGGAAATGACTCAAAAGGGAAGTGAGGCGGACGGTGGACGACGGGCCTCCAACCACAGCTCTGCCTCCCGAGCGAGCCTCAGCCTCCTTAGTGCCGGGTGCCCCCTGGACAGCAGGTGCCAGGCCCTGCCCCTGAGCCCCAGCCCTCGGCACCGCCTGGGTCCCGGCCCATCCCCAGCCCTCAGGGCCCCTGGATCCCCAGCCCTTGGCACCGCCCGATCCCGGCCCATCCCCAGCTCTTGACACTGGCCAGATCCCGGCCCATCCCCAGCCCCCAGGGCCCCTGGATCCCCAGCCCTCGGCACCGCCTGGGTCCAGGGCCATGTGCAGCTGCTGGTTGGACGGGAGTCAGTGGGAGGCAGGGCCGTCGCTGACCGAGCTCGTGGAGAAGGCTTTCCCCGACAGAAAGGCCACACTCCCGAGTGTCCGCACCCAATGGGCTGTCGGCCTCGGCAGGTGTCTCCACCCCCACCCCCATCCGTCACGCTGTGCAGACCAGAGGCAGTAACGATTCCCCACGAAGCCCGACTCGCCCACACCCACAGCCCCTCCGTCGTCCTCACCATCAGGGAGACAAGCTCCCATAGACCCAGAATTTAGAAAGTTAGAGACAGGAGATGCCTTACCTTTAGAGCAGCGGTTCTCAACCTTCCTAACGCCGCGACCCTTTAACACAGCTCCTCATGTGATGACCCCCAAATTCATTGTTACAAATGGAACATAATTAAAGCATAGTGATTAGTCACAAAAACAATATGTTATTATATATGTGTTTTCCGATGGTCTTAGGTGACCCCTGTGAAAGGATCGTTCGACCCCCAGAGGGGTCGCGACCCACAGGTTGAGAGCCGCTGCTTTAGGGCTTCAGAAAGTTCCTGGTGAGTAGATTTATCTCATCTTTTATTTTTTTAAATACATTTTATTGATTTTAGAGAAAGGAAGGGAGAGGAAGAGAGAGAGATAGAGAGAGAGAGAGAGAGAGAAACATCAATGATGAGGGGGAATCATGGATCAGCTGCCTCCTGCACGACACACACTGGGGATCAAGCCTGCAGCCCAAGCCTGTGTCCCGACCGGGAATGGAACCCTGACCTCATGGTTTATGGGACGATGCTCAACCACTGAGCCACACTGGCCGGGCAATTATATCTCATCTTTTAAAGTAAAATCTCTTCTTTATTAGTTATCATGCCCTTAAAATTGTCCTAAAATAGGCACCCTAAAAATATAGAGAGAGACCTTACTTCCCAAATCATATATATATACATTCATGAAAACACGCATGTGCTGTAACCAAAGCAAACACACAAAAACACAGGTAGTCACATGGCAAAAGCCACGAAGGAGCCGACCTCCTGTTAGGTGAGTATTAAAGGCAATGAGAGTGAATTGCAGTCCGATTTTTGAACTTAATTACTCTAAGGATTTTATTCCAATTTCCAGAGGACACAGTCGAAGATTCTATTGAAGTTCTCGCACTTCGACCCAGGCCACTTTGTCACGTGGGACTGGGGAGACGGTGTGGCCAAGGGAGCACTCCTGCGGGTGTGGCCTGCGGCCAGCAGAGGGCAGCTGCGCCCCGTCGAGGAGGCAGGTGGGCCCGCGGGCAGGTCACCTTCCCGGCTGCGGCTCCGGAAGAGAGGACTGAGGTCCCGAGTGATAGCCGGACGCCCGCCGCCTGTCTCCCTGCGTCACAGGTTCAGGAAAAGGACCCCAAACGTCACCTTGAATTCAAGAACCCAGTTAGTCTCCAAACCCAGCAGAAGCTGAAGCTTATAAAATACTGGTTCTGTCTGGTCAGGTGGCTCCGTGGTTGAGCATCGACCTATGAACCAGGAGGTCAGGGTTCTATTCCTGGTCAGGGCACATGCCCGGGTTGTGGGCTCGATCCCCAGTGTGGGATGAGCAGGAGGCAGCCAATCACTGATTCTCTCTCATCCTGATGTTTCTATCTCTCTCTCCCTCTCCCTTCCTCTGAAATCAATAAAATAATTACAAATAATAATAAATAAAACCTGATGTTTTCTCTCTCTCCCTCTCCCTTCCTCTGAAATCAATAAAATAATTACAAATAATAATAAATAAAATAAAACATGGACTCTAATTCCAAACGTCATCTGAAAACTCTGACAGACAGGGTCCGGGGACTGTGGGTGCCCGGCGAGTCAGGGGGAGAGGCCCCGCCACGGTGCCCGTCGGGGCTCTGGGGGACCATCGGGCTGGCCTGTCTCCCTGGCCCTCCTCTGGCCTCGTCCAGACGCCTCAGCGGAGACTCTGGTGGCTTCGTGTTCTCACGCGTTTAGTGCGGCTGAACCGGCTCCTGAGACCCTCAGCCTCCGTTCTCCCCGAGGCCTGGG